AAGGACCACACGTGGACACTCTGAGACGGGGTTACGAAAACACAATCACAAATGTAAAAAAACAATGAGAAACAGGTGAGCGTCAGCGACCGCCGGAATTCCAGGCAGCAAGACAAAGGAATGAAGCCACCAGCACCAAGAAGACCGAACCAACTTCACTCGAAAGTCATTGACGGGGAAACGATTGTGGTGAGAGCTGTCTGCTAGCCGAAATTGGTAGACAGCAACTTATGTCAATGTTTATGTCCCAAATCTTAGTCATGAGAAAAGAACAAAGACTAACTCAACAATGAATAACAGTAGACTTTGCGTGGGCGGACATGATTAGCAGATATATCAACGGACTGTCTAAGAAACGGACGGCAACAAAGAGATGATAGAATAACCTTCAGCAGGAAAACAACCAATCAGAAGACGTTACCTCTCCGCTAACAATAATGAATAATGATGTACATAAAAATGTATTAATATCTGTTGATTTTTTCAATAAACGACCTGTTGCCTGTCCCTTGTCTGTTGTCGTTACAATAGTGAAATTAAACAAGATAAGGTTTGATAGTGTGGAATATTCCCACATTATGAATTAAAAGTTTCTCGTAAAAATCAATAAATTTGTTCAAGCCACAAGCTTGAAGCCCTATGTTCCACTGGGGGACATGAAGGGAAAAAAATGGTAGTAAAATACAATGATTACAGCTGATAAGATTGGAAAGTGACCTATAAGCGAACAATATTGTTGTTTTCAATTAGATTTTCTTCAGGCTTTACAGCTTAACAAACGCATTAATGAGCATCTTCCTTCCTTCATGGTTCGGAAAAGGTCAAATAAAATCTATAAGTTCTATTTCGGCTCATTTGATTGCTGATAGCGGTCACCAAGTGGACAAAAATAGTGCCTTCAAAGTTATCTATCGCATTCCATCGAGCCTTTCGAACGGAATTCGAACCCGTCTTTTACACATAGCCGAAGCTATGGGAATTAGTTCGAGAGAACAATCCTAGTCTTTGCATACAACAAAAGAAGTTTGTTCTACCTTTGTCTCTCCCTTGCCTGGCCTAGGTGAATTCTATTCAAAACCCTCCCACCCTTTCTTATTTTCCATTTCCTTCGTACTTTTATGATATTTATTTAAACTCTGATTATCTGTCCACTTCACCTACCTTTAGTATTACGTAACTTTTAAGATTTGACCTAATTTATTTATTTATTGAATTGTCTACATATACACGCATATTACTACCTTTGTTATTCTTATCCCCACCTGCGTAAACCTTATTATCAATATTTTGTTATCATTACAATTATCGTTATTAACTACGTTCAAAACATTTACCACATTATTAATATTATTATTTGATCTACAAAATCACCGTCATTGGTTAAAAATGCCATCGAAGGTGGCAGCTGTTAATAAAGGTCTGTAACTCGTTGGAAATCCTTTTCGTGACATGCAGTGCAAGTTTCTGACCCGTATAGATGAACTGACTGACTGACTGAATTCACATTTGCGTTGAATATGATCCGAATCTTGCTGTTTACGCTGGTTGAGTGCAGAAGGTTTACAAACTGGTTTCATGTCGATGAAGGCGTATTTTGCATTTCCGATCCTGACTTCTTCATCCGTTCCGCATGTAGCTGAATGAATTAACCTCTGTCAAATCTCTCCCATTAATGGTGATTGGTATTGGTTGTTCTCGCTGTTGCTGCTGGTTGGTTATCTCCATCACCTCCACCTTCTCTATGTTCACCTAGAGTCCTGTCTTCGCTGCCTGTCAGTTTGTTGCTTTTCGCCTGCCACTAATTCTTCGAGTTTGTGTGACATCAAACATAAATCATCCACGTGCCAAACCCAGATATTCTAAAGTCTTCATATCAGTCAGTCCAACGTATTCCTGTCTTCTCAACCCCATGCACAGTCTCACGTATAATCCAGTCCACCACAATTAGGAATATCATCGGTGATAATAAGCAGCTGGCCAGACGTACCTGACTCCTGTATTCACTTCGAACTCCTCACTGAGTGAGTTTTCCGTCGTATCAGCTGGCTATCTGACAAGTGTCAGGCATTGTCATATAACCAGCTGTTGAATGAGGTTGATAAAGACTTGGGCACTGCACGCCGTAGTGTTGAAACACTTTCCAAATTACCTCTCAGTCAATGCTATCTGTAGAAGTCCTTTTTCGAAATCGACGAAGTTGAGGTAGACAGAGAGAGAGAGGTTTGACTGTCATTCTATGCTTTGTTCTGTGATGACGATGCGTATAGTTACAATTTCATCAGTAGATGATTTGCCTTTCCTGAATTCATCCAGCTTGTTCCGGTGACCTGGAGTTCTGGCATCTGGTGGATCTTTTAATCTCTCCAGGATGACGCAACATACTATTTTACTTGTTGTCGACAAGAGCATTATTCCAGGCCAGTCAGTTCTTGCAGAATAAGAGGTGTAAGTCGCCCTCCATTATCATTCTTCTGCATTACTACCAATCATTTAATTCTAATTTTATATTATTCACTATCAGCTAAAAGTGAAGAATAATGATATGAGGTTGTTTTAACAAGCCTGAACTACCTGATTGATTATGCATAAAATAGGTAGATAGCAAACACTCTACCTAGTGGTAATTTTATCATATATACTCAAGACTAGCTACACATCATACCGAACAGTTGAACAGTAAAACACAAAAACAAAATGCAGGTCAACCTTCACAGAAAATCGAATAACACGAAGACAAACTATGCAGCAGCCACCAACCACACTCCGCAAAAAAATAGAACCAGTGCTATTGAAACTTTAAAGCTCAAGTTTGGAGATCCATGTTCCAATGGGAACGCAAAGGAATACGATTAAGAAATAACTATCAAACAACATTGACTGCAGCAGACTAGAGTTACTCGGAACGATAACGACCCAAGCCGTCGTAATGACCTTCATCAACCAATGGGATGAGCCCATAGGAAGTCCGCGCGATTTTTAAGTTAGTTTACCAGGGTAACTTTCTCGTAAACGTTCCAATAGTATTTTCCAACTACTTATTGGAGTTTTCCATGATAATTCATATCAGTTAGCAGCGTGGTTCGGGTACTGCAACGATATTTCCGCGTAATGAATTACGGCTCATATGATTGGTTGATGTAGGGTCATTATTATGTCCATTCACCTGAGCTGCTATAGTTTAGAGTAACTCAGACTAACAGGAGTTGTTCATTGACACTGGTGAATTTTTAAGGGTACGCTTTAACATCCCTCTGCTTTGTAGTATTTGAAATACCCACACAATATGAAAGTTGAACTCCTATTGGTTGTTAGCACTTTCAACTGATTATTGAATTCAGTGTTGGTTAGAGTCATTTATATAGCATCGGTGTAAAGTTTCTTTAGAGTATTGTTTGAAACAGTAAACGCTCTCTTGTCCATCGTCCCTATTCTCTCTTCTTTTAACATGTCGGTGGTATCATTGTAGTAGTTGTTGTTGTTGTTGCTGTTGTGATTGACGTTGCAGTTATCATTATTATTTATTGTTGTTCCCTTGGATTCCTGGTGGAACATAGGGCTTCAACTGCACGTCTCCACTTGCTTCTGTCTTCTGCTCTACTTTTCACTTGCATCCATGTTAGTCCATACTGTTTCAACTCCTCTTCACACGATCTCCTCCATGTCACCCTCGGACGTTCCACTCGAGGGCCTGACACTCAATGTTACCCAGCCGTCTCCTCAGCGAGTGTCCAACACATCTCCACTTTCTCCTGCATATTTGTTGGGCGATTGGTTCTTGTTTTGTTTGTTCCCATAGTTTCTTGTTGGTGATTCTTTCCGGCGGCTATCTGATCTTGAGTATAGAGCGAAGAAAGTTGTTGTTGATAAAGGTCTGCAACAGGCTGATGCAAATATTCTTTGTGACCCGCCGTCAAGTTTCTGATCCATCCGTATAGAAGAACTGACTGACTTGACGTTTGTATTGAAAATCCGAATTTTGTTGTTGATGCAGGCTGAGTGATGGAGATTTCCAGATTGGTTTCAGGTTGATGAATGTGTTTCTCGCCTTCCCGATTCTCGATTTGACATCCTTGTCCGTTCCTGCTGTGGTTGAGACAATGCTCCCTAGATAAGTGAATGAAGTAACGTCTTTCAAATCCCTCCCGTTGATGGTGACCTCGCCTAGATTACTAGGTCACTAGTTTTCTAGCCGGTCCCAAGCCCAGATAAAGAGGGAGGGTTGGGGCGTGGTGCTAGCAACTCCACCCCCAAAACTTAACCAAATTGCTACAAAAACTTCAACGCACAAATATATTCAAAATTCTAAAAATACAAACAATGACCTTATTTTTCGCTGGAATCGGGGAAGTGAAATGACGCAGGCTGGTGAAAGCCTTTGAGAAGCCAGTCAGCCGATGTGCCTTCTTTTGATGAAAGCAAAAATAAGGATGGGGACGTGGAATATTCGTACAATGTAGGAAACTGGAAAGGCTGCTCAGGTAGCCGCAGAAATGAGAAGACGTTGCGGTTAGCTTAGTTTATATTCGCGCATTAAGTTCATCTACTAGGTTGTATCATAGGTCATATCAGTCATTATACTATCAGCCTTAAAATATACTTTCCATTTGTTGTTAATAATTATAAATACTTGAGAAATAGTCATAAGAACACGTACGGTGTATATGTGATTATACTCTGTACGCCATCAAAAGCAATGAGTCAAATTCTTTCTCTCCTTCACGTCATTAATCACTCACTCACTCGCTACTCGGCGTTTTACTGGACAGTAGAAATTATCCAATCAGATTACAGATAAACATATCGATCCATGAGTGCACCAACCAATCAGATAATTTCTAACAAGCGGGTAGTCCAAATGTTGGACTCTAAAATACAATGAGTCATTCACACTCAAAGAAAAGAAAATAATAATAAAACAGCAATATATATGTTTGTTTATATGTTTCTGCCTGTACATAATGCAATATACAATAAGAATCTTTTTATAAAAAAAAGTTAAATTATCTAAATGTTGTTGCTGTGGTTACAATTCGTGATTGTTGTGCTGTTGATAAACTGCTTTGATCATGACCACCATTAGTCGAAGTGTTCGATTGTTGTATACTAAACTTTCCACTTGATATAGCTGAAGCTGTTTGATTTTGTGCAACAATCTTGGCGATATGTTCACGTGTCAATAGTGCTAAGCCTAATTGATCTTCTTTATTGAATGGTTGACCCATTAGACGTAAAAATCGACGTGAGGCTTGTACTGCTTCTTCAATAGATAAATTAACAAATGCATCTTGTAGCTGAGATTGTATCCAACCGGGTAGTTTAAAGCGTTTATCAGCGCGTGCATAACGCTAGAATAATAATGAAAACAAAGAGAGAGAGAGAGTAGAAAGGTGGATTATGAATTATAATTAGGTAAAAAATAATTCATGCATGTCTATGATTTTCCTATTTGGCTAACCAGAATTGTATTGCACAGTTGTTTTGCCCTAGTTTGGGACTCTTCAGCAGTACGCACCCATCAGGGGCAAAGTTAAACTTTAAGCACCACCAACTACCAATCACGTGAAGGAGGCACTTTTGTGTATGGAATGCATATATTTATGGAAAAAATGCATAAAAACTGTCTAAAAGTGTATAAAAGAGGATACCTTTCTCTCACATGTGATAAAAATAGCTCTCAGTTTTAGGTTGGAGTATCAACAATGTTAACTCCATTGTGGGTAAAATTTATTTTGATAAATTCTCATAGTGTAATACAGTAATATTTCCTGAGCGATAAATTATGCTCGAAACTCCATCAGTAAATATTACTGTATAACACCATGAGAATTTATCAAAATAAATTTTACCCACAATGGAATTATACTCTACCACCATTGTGCACAAGTTCTATTCTTATATCAATAGAGTAATCTAACCACATTCTATGCATGTAATTATTTAGGTCTTCTAGCCCTGACAATAACCCTGATTTTTCCTGAACCTAACCGTAACGTGGAAATATCTCTAAACTAACTATAATCTAACTCAAACCAACCCTAATATCGCCTTGATTAGGTTAACTTAACCCTAACTTGTCCTTGGCTTAAAGCATAACTTAATCTTCCTCAAACCTAAGCTGAAACTTGTCAGATATCCCATTTCATAGCATAACACTTAGATGAGCATATTTTTGATTGATGATGACAACATTATTTGCCAGGCTTCACTAACTTGCTCAGTGAGCGTTTCAAGGTCATTGGTGCGGTCGCACTCCATTGGTTGTTAGTGGTGCTTAAAGTTTAACTTGGCTCCATCAGGGTTCGAACCCAAAACCTCCTGGTTACGTGGTGAACCCGTGGGTCATCCAACCACTGGGACCTGATCCAATGGCCCATGAATTCCATGAATAACAATCTGATGCTCACTTGTGACTGGTGAGCAGTTATATAAGTTCTGGTGGGAAGTTGTGACCAGTGGTGTACAGTAGGACAAGTGTGAGGACAAATGCTCTCGCCCCGTCTGACATTAACTAACGCGCAGAAGTTGGGGTTCATATGCTGTTGAGTCCGGTCTCAGTGTCCTGATAGTCTACGAGCTCGCCTTGTAACCGGTGGGTCCTGGTGGGATTAGAACTCCAGTGAGTGCATACCCCCCGAAGAGTCCCGAACTAGGACGAAACAGCTACCCAGGTTTTCTAATAACTCTCTAACCGATGTTAACTCCTGATGAAAACCTATGATCAAAGATAGCTAGTTAGCCTTTTCGTGTGTTCCACTTTCAATGACGAGATCTCACAGATATAAAGGAAGACAAAGAGAATTGACTGCTGAACAGTACATACGTCATTTGGTCGACAGCCAGCCGGATATCACATCTACTAAGGTAGATATGGCGTAAGTTATCAGGTAAATGCCAAACGAGCCTTCTGTATCCATGCTGAGATCTCGTCAGCGATCAACCTGCTGTTGTTGGCTGATGAAACTTCCAAACCCAAATAAGTGAAGTGGTTAACACCCTCTACCACTCTTACTTCACTTCCTCGCTTCTTTTTAGTCAACTTTTGTAGCATCATCTTACTTACACATTTGACGGAGGGAGCGAATCTCACACGTCAAACATTCAAATTGTTCTGCTCAATTCAATATTCAACTCACCTTATCAGCTAACACCATAATACCGTAATCTGATTTACCGCGAATAGCACGTCCTAAACACTGAGCAGCATGACGCATTGCATCGAAGGTGATAAATTCATTCGGTCGTATATTATACTGTTCACGAAGAAAATCTAAACGTGCCTGATAGACAAACAAACAAAAATAAAAGAAATAGTGACAAAACAATTAAGCGAAATGACAAAGAAAAAAGGGAAAATAAGAATTCAGTCAACAATTCCTTTCCGTTAGTTTCCTATTTGATTTTCATCTTTTCCTAACGATTAGTTCTCTTTTAAAGATGAATCCTAAAATAGTTAAGATAATTAATTAACCGACAACTTTTTTCTCATTCATTTGAGTCCCGATGGTGTTAGCTTTATACAGGGGGTTGGCTGGGGTGGAGTTGCTAGTCTCCCGACCGATAGCTGCTACCTTGACATGGTGGTCGGGCTTGCATATCGCAATGACCCAACGAGCTACACTGGCTGGAACTTATGTTCCTGTAGGTCCTACCATGCCAGAAAGGTTGTTTGGATAGCAGTTAGACTAAAAGCAGTTACCCAACCCAATGCTATGATTCAAACAAATCCACAAAATATCATACCGGATCGGTCGGGGCCCGGATTAACAACGACCGCGCTTCCTGCTGCCGTATCACAGGGCAGAAGTGATAAATATGCCACTGAGACACATCAAACAAAAAAGAACTAACAAAAACAGGCCGCGTGTGACCGGCCTCAAGCAGTTGTCCCCTGGGCTCTGCGGTCACGCAACACTAACCTTTTCTCTATTTCAGGTACCCAAAGACTCAACCAACTTCCACGGTGTGGGCAGCCGGGAAGTAACAACCACCCACACACTTCCAAAAGCACACGAAGCCTACCTGAGCATCACTCTCCCTTACTCACATCACCTTCCTCATCTTGCTTCTCTACTACAGTTAGCACTATTCTTCAGGCTAGTGAGTCATCTTCACTTCACTCTGCGACCACAAACAACGATGAGAGCCATAGAAACACCCTAGATAGTTGCTAGTCTCACGCCCAACCTTCCCTTTTTCTGAGGATTTACTACGGTCTAGTATACCAAGAGAGGCTGAGAACCTCATCGGCCAAGAATCGAACCCGGGACCACATGAGTGATTGGTTCAAAACTATCCTACCTTTGAAGCCCTACGTTCCTCTAGGAATTAAAGGAAACAATAATAATAATGATAACATCCTACCTTTGAACCATCCACATTCACGCACGCACACACACACACACACAACCAATGAAATATTCAGTTTCTATAACATACGTACATACATACATAACAATTTCATACACTGATACACTGACAAAAAGCTCTTATCACTAAGATATTCGGAAAAAGACTTGATACTAAGATGTCTAGTTTGATATCAAAACATCCATCATCATTATCATCATCATTAAATGAAATGGGGTGACATACCTTAAATATTCGACTTTGCGTATAAACATACGGTACACCGAACATAATAACACAACGACCAAGATGATGGTCTGAAAATTCAAGAAAAAACAAAACAAATAAAAATGGATTTAGGTTAATTTAGCATTTTGGTGTGTGTGACCTTGACACAAATTAGTATATGTAGTATTGATCTTTAGTATAGAGAACAGTCGAGGTGACATACATAAATTAGTTCATACCGACCGATTGTCTTACTTAATCCAATCTACGCTAAATAATAATTAAAAGGTATGGCCGCATAATTTAATATTATAGAACGTATCACCTTCAAGAAGGTGATGTTGTTTTATAGTTTGGTTTGTAAGGGTAAGTTGTGTTTTTACGAGTTGATCACGGATTGATATCAGTTAGAGAGAGAACCATTGAAAACCAGCCACAAGGATTACTGGACAGCTGTTTCTGTTGTCCTAGTTTTTGGGAATCATCGGCAGTACGCACCCACCCACACCACGGGGTTCGAACCCAGGATCTTCCGGTTACAAGGCAAGCTAGCTGGCTCGTATACCATTCAGTCACTGGGACCCACCCGATTCAATGGCCAGCTGCTCATGAATTCTAACTTCTACCAATTCGTGATTTAGCACGACCCCAACCGTTGTCGTAGGTGGAACACATCCATCCTCACACGTGATATCTGGATGAACCTCACTGGTCACAACTTCTCACTAGAACTCCAGGAAACTCTATCCTGTAGCAAGTTACTAGCGAGCATCAGATTAATTTTCTATAGTTTGGTTTGTAGAGGTTAGTTTTGTTTTAACGAGTTGATCACGGATTGATATCAGTTAGAGAACCATTGAAAACCAGAGTACTGCAGATGATTCACGAACTAGGCTGATGAAACAGCTGTCCAATACTCCCTGGTTTTCAGTGGTTCTCTAACTGATATCAATCCGTGATGTTATTTTACTCAGAAATAAAAAAACGCTTGGATTTCTACACAGTGAGCTGTGAGTTACACCTATTGTGTGTATGTGTATGTGTGTGAGGGCTAGTGATACTTACACACCAGGCTGTTCAAGATTCCTATTTTTTATCGCTGTGAGATATTTTTTTCTTCCTTCACGTTCCCAGTGGAACATAGGGCTTCAAGCTAGAGGCTTGAAGTTTCTGTAGCAGTGTTTTACTTTTACAGGATGGGGTTGCTAGCCTTATGCCCAATCTTTCCGCTTTACCGGCTTTTTATTACTGGTTTGGTGAGGTAAAGGAATGCGTCGGTCGAGGATCGAACCCTGGACCATGTGCATGGTCGGCGAGCGTCCTAACCACTGTGCCATCGACGCACCAGCTGGAGTGGTGGTTTTCTGAAGCTGTACAATCATATTTACATTTGCTATAGAACCATTGAAAACCGGCACTGGAGGATTAATGGACAACTGTTTCATACTAGTTTGGGAATCTCATTGGCAGTGCGTAACCACACCACGGGGTTCGAACCCAGGACCAGGACCTTCGGGTTACAAGGCCAGCTCGTATACCACTCAACCACTGGGAACCGATTCAATGGTCCGCAAGATCCTGGGCCTGGGTCCTGAATTATTTTGCCACTTAACATTTAACTATGATTATAATCACAAACGCTTTAATTGCATTTAATACTATTATTATTATTTGTAAAAAAATTATATTTGTAAAGTCTCAGAGAGATTGGAATGAGTAATTCCAACGTTTCGTTCGGCAATCTGGTCCGAACTTCTTCAGGGAAATTAATCGAAATTAACATAACAGAGGTTTATATAAAAAAGGAATATCACTTAACAAAGAAACTGTGTAATTGGCACAATCATCGTGTTTTCACTCTCCATTGGCTGCAACAGAATGCATATGCTAAATCCGTAGCTGTCGAGTCACCTGACAACTCCAGTAGGTCGAATAAAGCAGCTCAATCTTCAGAAAGAAGGCAAAGCAATAAGTCCGACAGGGTGCTTCTACTAAACTCTAATCCTAAACACCATAATTTTGAAAATACGTCCAATCATAAAATTCTAGATACTAACAGTTTGAACAGACATGAAGGCGTGATGTTAGCTGATGCATAGGAAATCCTGATTAATAAATAAAAAGTGGATATGTATCACTCATTATTAATACTTGGTCAAAATTCTCGACTGTCCATATCTTCTTATGGAGACGTTAAGAGATGTTTTACAACTGTTTAGCCACACACACACATACACACTCTGTTTAAAGTGTTTAACAAAGGTAGACCAATATTTGTAAGTCCGAGGTGAAATTTTGATCACAGCTCATAAAATTTCGTTTACTATACTTGTTGATACTTGTTGAATGACTCATGATTGGACAGAGTTTGTAAAAACAAATGATGTTCCCTTTATATATAAACCCGTGTTATGTTAATTTCGATTAATTTCCCTGAAGAAGTTCGGACCAGATTGGCGAACGCAGTAAACGTTGGAATTACTCATTTCAATCTCGCTGAGATTTTACAAAGATAATTTTTTACAAATGTCTACTTCTAACTCGGCGCCCAAATATTTTAGAACTATTCTGTCAAATCTTGACGACAGCTCATTTGTATTATTATTATTTTATGCATTCACACCTATGATTCAACTCCCTCACCGGCTATAATTTCTCAAAAACAACACATAAATATATATATATATGTAAAGACGATTGTACAGCTTGATGATAAATTCTTTGTTGAAAAGAGTCTCTTCGCTGAATCACCACTTGTTTTCATTTTCTATATGTCCCAATGGGAATTCTCCATGAAATAGTTAATCGGAGCAATAAGAAACCCTACCACCAACACTATACCTATCACCGCTCAACACATAATGCATAAAAAGACAATGGAGATAGATAAATCGAACACACATCACAGACGCAGGCATGCACCCACCCCACCCCCGCCACCATTGATGAAGAACTGAAAGATTATTTGAGCACTAGTGAGCAGCTAAATAAGACAGCAGAGAGCACATAGTTCCACTTAGAATCCAATGGAATCATCATAATTATTATTTATTATTATTATTGTTTCCCTTAATTCCTACAGGAACATAGGGCTTCAGCCGTGCGTCACCATTGCGTTCGGTTCTCTGCTAGAGTCTTCACCTGGCTCCAAGACTGCCCACACGTTTTCATCTCCTCTTCACATGACCTCCTCCAAGTCACCCTTGCACTGATGACCAACTCGCCTCTCCCCTTTCGGGTTCCACTCCAGCAATGGCCTGTCTAGTGATGTCACTTGATGGTTTGTTTCCTCAGAGTATGGCCAGCCAATCCATCTCCATTTCTTCCTGCCTATTTGTTTCACAATCGGTTCCTGCTGAGTTGGTTCGCTCATTGCCAGAGATCTCTGTTGCTAATCTTTTCTGGCCGGTCATCTGATCGTGAGATTCACATATCCCCAGTACTTGAATTCTGTATTTTTTCATTTCGTTTACGATCTGGGCAGCTTTGCCAATCTCGTACATGGTGCGGACATTCCATGTCCCCAAATAGACGTTTTCTTTTGGCGCAAGGGGATTCGTCGAGCTGAAGTTTCTGTAGCAGCTTTGTTTACGGGATGGGGTTGCTAGCCTCACGCCTGAGAAGGGGAGAGAGAAAAGGTTAGTGTTGCTTGACCTCAGAGCCCAGGGGACAACTGCTTGAGACCGGTCACACGCGGCCTGTTTTTGTTTGTTCCTTTTCATTTGGTGTGTCTCAGTAGCATATTTTTATCACTTCTGCCCTGTGACACAGCAGCAGGAAGCGCGGTCGTTGTTAATCTTGGCCCCGACCGATCCGGAATGATATTCTGTGAGTTTGTTTGAGTCGTAGTATTGGACTGGATTGGGTAGCTGCCTTTTGTCTAACCGCTATCCAAACAACCTTTCTGGCATGGTAGGACCTACAGGAACATAAGTTTCAGCCAGTGTAGCTCGTTGGGTCATTGCGATATGCAAGCCCGACCACCACGTCAAGGTAGCAGCTATCGGTCATCATAATAATAATAGTAATATATAATACCACAGAGAAATAAAAACTATTTTTGTTTGAATACATAGCACATACACACACATATAATAAGTAAACAAATAACCCAATGCACTGCGCATAATGAATAAACAATAATCCGAAGATTAATACAATCCAAAAAACATGGAAATATTGATTATTTAGTTCGATCGACTGATTAGAATTAGTTAGACGCCTTGTATCAATTTGTAGATTGAATAAAAAACATTTTGTTTTTTTCTAAGACCTTTGCGATTATTTCTCTAATCTCAAAACGAAGATTAAACAATCTATGGATGTAGGATATGAATTTCGGACTTTGTTTGTTTGTTTTTTTGATTGTTGAAAAAATCGATATTAATCAATACATATATATACGTTTGTATTTATGTAAAGAGTGTCATTGAAAAGTGCAGCAAACAATAAACAACAATAGCAAATCGATATCACAAATAAATTTCACAGATGCGCTAGAGAAAATCTTATAGTTTATGCGATGGCTGGATGGATGCTACGCGTACACCCAGACTGAGGCAGATGGTTGTCTTAAAACGCCAAACCCCTCCCCCCTCTCTCTGCCTCCACCGAACATTCGGTTCAAAGTCTGATCCACAAGGCAGTGTGGACCAGCATCACGAGCCGCATTCACATGGTTTCCGGTAACCGAAACAGGTCCATACGCTATACGATCTATTCGGTTTGGAATGATCAGGGTTTTCCAGCTCTCCAAGGCAGAGATACTAGTATGTCCACAGGTCCAGATGCTAGCGCTAGACGTTCGAATTCGCCATATAACTTTTATGAGGAATACCTCTTCTATGTGACTGGCTGGATTCAACATAGAACTTGGCACCAAAGTGTAGCACTTCCAGTTGCCACGTTCCAAATACCACACAAAGGTAGACAAGAAAATGAGAGTGAAGAGAATCAATAGAGTTTTGACAAGTATAAGAGTGAAACAGAATGAGTAATGGTAGAAAGGAATATGAAAGATTACAGAGACTGAATACATCTGCGCTAGCCATTGGCAATGATTTTGAGCCATGTCACCTATTGTCTCCAGTCATTGATTGATTCTTAGAGTCCCGAGGGCGGGCCCCAACCCGGAAGTCTGCATCTCCCTCCCTACCTGACTCAGTTTAACTGTCAAGGATTTCATGGATTGATGAGGCCATGTTTTTGTTTGGCCACCACTTACTCTTTTCCAACCCACAACACCTATATCAGCTAGTAATGCCCGTGGAGGTGGGGGAGGCGATGGTTAGGCATGCGCAGCACGTGATCTAGCCATCTCAATCTATGTAACTTTATAGCCTCTTCGATTGATTTTCCCTCTTTGCCCAACACTCTACCTACGCCTAACGTCAACATTACTTACCTTATTATACCACCTAACGTGAGAAAGGGATCGTAAACATCTATGATCAAAAACAGTCAACCTTTTCAGGTCTTCAACTCGTATTGGCCATGTTTCACAGCCATAGAGAAGAACGGAGCGAACTGTGAAGGTAATAAATAGGGCTTATCTGACAGGAGTTATGAACCTGTGGCAACATGAGAGCATTTTGAGAGGAAAATCGAAGTCTAGACAACCTAAGGCATACTAGTTCGTTTGTAAGGGGCTTAAATTATTGACTATTCACCGTTGAACTGTGTGCGTATTGTTTCATTGTACAGGCAAAACTTGTGTCATATGTAATAGAGACTCTTGTTTAGTGAAACTGAGAATAATGGGAAGGAGATTCATAGACATTGAGAATTGAAGATGAAATCAATCAGTGAGTCTGGGGTCTCAGGATGATTTCAACTAGTAGCCTTTGAATAACTTTTTTGAACCCAGTTTCCGGATAAGGTCCATGATGTTTCAGACCATGAGCAACATTTATGGTGTGACAGGTGGTGATACTGTTACGACAGACGACAAGGGCCAGACAACAGATCGTTTATTGAGAAAGTCAACAGATATTTAAAGATTTTTATGTACATTATTATTAGCGTTCTTGTTGGCAGAGAGGTAACGTCTTCTGACTGGTTGTTTTCCTGCTGAAGGTTATTCTGTCATCTCTTTGTTGCCATCCGTTTCTTAGACAGTCCGTTGATATATCTGCTAATCATATCCGCCCACGCTAAGTCTGTTGTTATTGGTTGTTGAGTTAGTCTTTGTTTTTTTCTTTTCTCATGACTAAGATTTGCGACATAAACATTGACTTAAATTGCTGTCTACCAATTTCGGCTAGCAGACAGCTCTCACCACAATACTATCCTGTTCACTAGACTGAAGTAGGTACGGCGGGATTTGGACCCAGGACCCGTTGATCGACAGCCAAACGCTTAAGTCAGTGACTCACATCTCTTGGAGTGAGTAGTGTACGATACTCCGTCAGATGTGAGCTGCACAAACAAACTGCCTGCTAACTAAGGTTATCTCCCTGAAATCACTCGTGTGCAACAACCCAGTCTAAGAAAGAAGATTCAGTTGTACAGCGCTTAATCGCTTCTATATGGGGTTCAGCAACTTTAGTGATTAGGTCGAAGAAAGCGTTTCCAACAGGCTACTACTGACTTTCATCAATAAATATGGTCTTAGAAGCAGTTAAAAAAGAACTAACTGTAGATCCCGAACTTAGTCATAGGAAATTATTTTAGGAATTCAATTATGCCTCACATCTACTATCTTTAAATTCCAAGGCAAAATATATAGACAAATAGAAGGAGTAGCAATGAGATCACCAATATCTCCTATCGTAGCGGATATATTTATGGACAGCTGGGAAAATATTGCTCTTAATACATTTAATCCTACTCCAAAAATATGATGGAGATATGTGGATATGACAATTTCACACACAGTGTTAAAAACAGAACATATCTCTAGCTTCTTGACACACATAAACTCACTAGTAGAGGAAAATGAACAAGGAGAATTAGCTATGGTGTTAGATTGTAAAATAAAACGAATAGAAGAAGGCAAACTACACACTAGCGTTTATAAAAGTTAACGCATTCTGCTAATAGATATTTAACCTTTTATTCGTCTCATCTGTTAACTGTTAAGGCAGGCTTAGTTAAGTGTCTAACAAACCGAGCAGTAGCACAAGAAAAGACCTAAGTGATGAAATAAAACAGATAGAAGTAGCGTTGGTGTGAAATAAACTAACTATCCTATAAAATTCATTAGGAAGATCAGAAAAGGCCAAAAGCAAAATAAAAATAATTGTGAAACTAGTAATGATAACATAAATAAGAGAGAATATAAGGCGTCTACCGTTATACCATATAAGAGGGGAGGGGACATCTGAGACCCTACGTAGGATTCTAAATAAAGCAGGAATTAGGGTGGCATTCAAACCTACAAACTCACTCAGAGACAAGTTCTGTAGGCTAAAAGACCCGGTGGACCCAATTAAACAAAATAATATAATTTACAAAATACCTTGCAATGACTGTGAGTTAAGTCAACTATATAGGTCAAACTAGTAGATTGGGGGTAATCAGATTGTCGGAACATAAGAATTTAGCTAAGGTAAGAATGGTTGACCCCGAGAAGATAAGTAATTTAGAAAAAGCTCAGAACTGCATTGCACTGCATGCATTAACACACAACCACACAATAGCATGGTGGGAGAGGGTTAAAATTCTAAGAAGTAATCTATGTAGGTGGAGAGCGAGAGAGATTGATTACTGAATCCTGGTTCATCGAGTCTACACCCAACACATGCAACAGAAATGACTCAATGCAAATACCAGAAATATGGAAGATATTATTACCACCAATCATTCAAATCAGAAGAGGATAATAAATAATCTTGAAATTCTATTTCAATTCAAGCACATCACAAGATTCTAACAAGTTACTTGTTTTGACTATAAAAACACTCGTCTTATTTCCCATCTAATTGTATTTGATCAATAACACTCGTATGATTATTTCTGAATGTACATTATTATCTCATATTTATTTTTATTCAAATATCTAGTCAATTCCACACATGTATATAAATGAAGTAAAAAGTTGTGTGAGTGCCTTGATATGATTATGAGTGGCAATAATTTGTGCTCTAAACATGGTCATCAGTTAATATTACTGTGCAACACACTGTGTGATTTATCCAAATAAAATCTTATCCATTATGGAGTTATGCTCTGCCACAGTGCCCAAGTTTTGTACTTATATGCCCACTTTGTTCCTCCACTGAAAGTAAAATGACTGACCAGAAGGAGCTCTGATAGACAAAGAACTAACCAATTACCGCTATTAACCATAAAATATGCACAAGGAAAAAAATCGATATGGATGGATTGGACACATATACACTCTGAGGAGGTCACTGAGTGAAGTCACACACGCCAAGCATCAATCCCCACCTCGAGTGGAACTTGAATAGGGAAAAGATGAGTTTAACAAGGTGCCGAAGGTGACATGAAGGATAGTGTGTGAGACAAGGAGATAATGAAAGCCTAAAGTGACTCGTGGAGTCAGCTAAAAAGAAACTGCCGAGTACAGAGTGAGTTTCACTCACACTGGACTATCTCAAACAGTCTCATCATTAATTAACACAATTTTCTCCTCTCTTTCTAACACAGTATGATGCGTACGATTGAAAAGAGAAGACAGAAATGAACAGTTAGTTTTATGGCATGTATGATTCATACATTTAGATGGCATCTGGGTATTAACCACGACGACTGCGATTAAATAATAATTCGGTTAGTAAGCAGTTAGTTGGATTTCGTAGCGGAGCTTTTTATAGAGTATTGGACTAATAATTTGGAGGCCTATTGATTCGAATTCCGTCATGAATCAGAGTTTCCTTTACAGAATTAGTGGGAAATATTGTTACCTGAAGAACAGCAAACAGTTTATATGCGTGTCTCTAAGATATCCTGACTGCTGGCTTATTTTCAAGACTATGAGTCACACTTCTAGTGTGTTGAGGGGTGGGTGGGTAGGAGAATGGAAGGCTATTGATACTATCCAGTTGACCGAACTGAAGTAGGTGGAAGGCGACGTGAACCCAAAACTCGTTCATTGTCTGAGAGTTAATTGCTTATGCATTCGACTTTCAACCAATAGGTTCACGGGTTCACACCTCCCCCCGACATCTACTTCAACGTGACCAATTGGACAGTATGGGTATCTGTCACCCACCCACATACATACACACACAAAGTGCGGTTCTCATAACCTGTTACCCTGTAACTGGATCCTGTACGGATTCCTATTAAAAAAAGCCTAAAAATTAAGAGCTGAAACCATTCTTCCCGTGAAATTGATGAACACGTCAACAATTAGGTCTCAAACATTGAGTTAGAGAGAGAGAGAAACAAAGGATATATTATTATAAAGCAGACAACTTTCTTACCAAAATCAATACCCTCAGATACTCGACCACGGACAACTGATAATAGGACAGCTCCACGACCATTTTCACATGCCTGCAAACAGAGATAGACATTAATAGAAATAGAAAAAAATTAAAGTTTTATCATCCCACGGTAGTAGTTTTCATCACTAGTGACTGAAGTCGTTATTTCTAAAAAAATTGTGAGTATTCTGATAAAACTGTACTCAATAACTTCAGCATGTTGACCACTAACGCTTTACATTAAGAAGTTAAGGCACTCAGGAATAACTCAAACCCTCCTCATCTTATAGTTTGTCAACTCGTGCATCTTACCCACACTTCATTAATGTTCACCCTTATTCTTTCCTGGACTGCTTAAAAAACACTATGTCATTACTTCCTAGAACTCTGAAGACTGACTGTCAGTCTGTCGGTTTTCGACATAGAACTTTGCACATATGTGCGGCTGTTCAAGTCGCCACACTCCCTCCTTGTAGCACACAAAGCAAGAGAAGAAAGTAGAAGAATTGCATAATATAGACAGTAAACAGAGATGTGAGACAAAGGAATAGTAATAACGAAGAACAAAACAGTTTCATTGGAAATCATGAGTCACAAGGAGTGGATGCATCTGCGCTAGCCATTGAGAACGATTTTGAGCCATGTCACCAATTGTTTCCAACCATTGGTTTTAACCGTCCCGAGGATCCCAACTGGTCTAAACCTTCCTACGTGGCTTACACTAACTGTTGTGGATTTCATTGACTGATGAGGCCATGTTTTCGTTTGACTGCCGCTAGCTCTTTTCCAGCCTAACCCTATATCAGCTAACATTGCCCGTTGTTGAGGAAGGCGATGACTAGGCATACGTAACACATGTCCCAACCATCTCAGTCGATATAATTTCACAGTTTCGTCGACTGATTTCCCCTCCTTAACTAGCACTCGACCGATGCCTAACCTCAATATTGCTCACCTTATTATACCACTTCACGCGGGAGATAGAACGCAGGCACCTATGATCAAAGAGAGCTAGCTAGCCTTTTCATGTCTTCCAATCTCAATGGTCATAAAGGAGGACGGAGCGAACTGACTTCTGAGCAGTACACACGCCCTTTGTTCGACAGCCACGTCTACGCCAGAGACGGCGCAAACTGGCATATGCGAACCTAGCCCTCTGTATTCGTGCTGAGATTTCGTCAGCGATCAACCCATTGGGGCTGATGCAACTTCCCAAGTAAGTGAAGCGGTCAACGTGCTCTACCACTTCACTTCCTATTTCTAATCTAGGGGTCGGTATAGTCCAATCCTGCAGCATCATCTTACATTTTAAAGGGGCGAATCGTATGCCAAACATACGAAGATTGCTGCTCAAGGTATTCAGAAGACTCTGCATTTTGTCAGCGTCCTCGCCTAGAAGGACTATATCGGCTGCACATTCTAAGTTTTTTTAATTTATTTCAGATTTGATCACGGATTGATATCAATCGGAGTATTGAGTGAATGTTTCGTCCCAGTCTGCAACTCTTCAGTGGTACAGACCTATAATCCCAGTCAGCAATGAGACAAAGGATATTCAAGTTATAAGGCGAGCTCTTTGTTAACCATTCAACCAATGGGACGAAATTCAACGGTCAGATCATGTGATGCATAACAACACCACTGTCAGTCAATTTCATCGGTGAATAAGTGTCTTCATAGCCGACCTAGTGGGCAGCACTGATCACAGTATTAGGAGAGACAACATATCGCCGACTTTGGTATTTCATTTCTAGACGTCCTTATGACCAGAAAAGACGAATGGCACCAAAAGAAAACCTACATACACCTAGTCATTATGCCCATTTTTTCCGCTTCGTGCCCTTAAAATACAAACGCAATCTGATAAAGTGCTTGGTCCATAGAGCAAGAGCAATTTGCTCGAACGAATGTCTTGATAAAGAACTTGATAATATTAAACAGTTGCGAAGTGAAAATGGTTATCCAGAAAAGTTTATTGATAAGAATATGAATAAAAAATCAAGGCAGCCCAAGGTAACAACAGTTCCAAAAAGGGCCTTATTCATACAAATACAGTTCCTTGGGGACAACACCAGTGAGATACTAACACAGCACCTTAGAAATGCGGTAAAAAGAGCATTCCCTGCTGCTGAATTACGTTGTGTCTTCAAAACCACTCCTCTTTTGCGTTCGGGAGTAAAAGACAAACTGCCCAATTTCGCCTTTTCCATGTGGATCTACCAATTTAACTGCTCCTGTGGAGTGAGTCAGTTAGTTGCATAGGCTATACAATTAGGCGTGTTTCTCGTCGAAATTCCAAACATCGCCCTGCATAGTGGTTGGTTAAGTAAAGGACAAACAAAATCTATTCACACAGCGCTATTCTATCTCATCTTGTGGATACACAGAACACAAGATTGATGTCAACAAGGCAGCTTTCAAAGACCACAGATGTTTACGATCTCTTTCTCGCGTTAGGTGGCATAATAAGGTAAGTAATGTTGACGTTAGGCGTAGAGTGTTGGTTGGGAAAAGAGGGGAAATCAATCGAAGTGGCTATAAAGTTACATAGATTGAGATGGTTAGGCCACGTGCTGCGCATACCTAACCATCGTCTCCCCCGACGGACGGGCATTACTAGCTGATATAGGTTCAGGTTGGAAAAGAGTAAGTGGTGGCCAAACAAAAACATGGCCTAATCAATCAATCCATGAAATCCTTGACAGTTAAACTGAGTCAGGTAGGGAGGGAGATGCAGACTTCCGGGTTGGGGCCCGGCCCGCCCTCGGGACTCTAAGAATCAATGGCTGGAGAAAATGGTGACATGGCTGAAATTCGTTGTCAATGGCTAGCGCAGATGTATTCAGTCTCTTTAACCTTCATATTCCTTTCTACCATTACTCATTCTGTTTGACTCACTCTTATACTTGTCAAAACTCTATTGATTCTCTTCATCGCTCATTTTCTTGTCTACCTTTGTGTGGTATTTGGAAGGTGGCAACTCGAAGTGCTGCACTTCGGTGCCAAGTTCTATGTTGAATCCCACCAGCCAGCTAGCTTTCAAAGTCATTTACCACATACCATACTGCATATCTTAACGTCGCCGTAAGAGTTCGACTACTAAATATTGCTGAGACTGGCCGTTAGGATCCACATTAAGAAGCTAGTTCGGACATTGTCCATATCTTGGCCATTTGGGTTTGAATGATCCTCAACATTTTGCAGAAAATTCCCTAATTTCAGTTGATATTCTATGTGCTATTATTATATTATTATTATTATTTATGCATCTTTCGCGAACTGTAATTCCATTGTGATCTTACTTTACAAATCGATCATATTTAAAAAAACTTCAATATTGTTATTGACTACTATTCTAGAACATTCTATGTATAGAAATATATGTATATATATAATTGTAGAGCCAAAAGAGAAAATTACCGAAAAGGATATTCTTTGATCAATTATTTTGTTTGTTTTTTTCTAAATGTCTGAAAGATTATTTATGGTTGAAATTCCTGTAGACGTGTAAACGATATATATGCTGTGTATTGTGAATAATAAAATTGCTGACGTGGTTGTCGCAGTTAAATCCGACTTTTGTGTGTCTACTCAGTGTAGGTCGGTCGGTCGGTTTTCGACATAGAACTTTGCACATATGTGCGGCTGTTCAAGTCGCCACACTCCCTCCTTGTAGCACACAAAGCAAGAGAAGAAAGTAGAAGAATTGCATAATATAGACAGTAAACAGAGATGTGAGACAAAGGAATAGTAATAACGAAGAACAAAACAGTTTCATTGGAAATCATGAGTCACAAGGAGTGGATGCATCTGCGCTAGCCATTGAGAACGATTTTGAGCCATGTCACCAATTGTTTCCAACCATTGGTTTTAACCGTCCCGAGGATCCCAACTGGTCTAAACCTTCCTACGTGGCTTACACTAACTGTTGTGGATTTCATTGACTGATGAGGCCATGTTTTCGTTTGACTGCCGCTAGCTCTTTTCCAGCCTAACCCTATATCAGCTAACATTGCCCGTTGTTGAGGAAGGCGATGACTAGGCATACGTAACACATGTCCCAACCATCTCAGTCGATATAATTTCACAGTTTCGTCGACTGATTTCCCCTCCTTAACTAGCACTCGACCGATGCCTAACCTCAATATTGCTCACCTTATTATACCACTTCACGCGGGAGATAGAACGCAGGCACCTATGATCGAAGACAGCTAATCTTTTCATGTCTTCTGCTCCCAATGGCCAGGTCTCACAGCCATAAAGGAGGACGGAGCGGACTGTTGAGCAGTACACACGCCCTTTGGTCGAAAGTCGGATATCACGTCTACGCCAGAGACGGCGCAAACTGGCATATGCAAACCTAACCACTTAGTGTAGGGGAATACTTCCAAGCGACCACACCTGGCTATACAGTGTCGGGACTGGAGATTCATTCGAGTCAAATTAGGCAACAACTTACAACAAAAATATTTGGCAACAGCGTTATTCAGAGTTCAAAATACCATCATAACATATTATGGTGACCAACGAAACTGAATTCTAGTAAAATTCATTAAAATATGAAGTCATTATTCTTCAACGAGGTGTTTTAACCTTGTCCTTCAGTGTTAAGCTAGTCCAGCAACAGCAGCATTATGAAGACTTTCAAGTTAAACTGATCAAAATACTTATTATTATTGTTCTCTTGGGTTCCTAGTAGACCATAGGGCTTCAACTACACGTCTCCACTTGCTTCTGTCTTCTGCTATACTCTTCACCTGCATCCATGTTAGTCCATACTGTTTCAACTCTTCTTCACACGATCTCCCCCATGTCACCTTCGGACGTCCCACTCGCCGCTTCCCTTTCGGGTTCCACTCGAACACTGGCCTGACGCGCGATGTCACCCAATGGCCTCCTTAGCCAGTGTCCGATCCATCTCCACTTTCTCCTGAATATTTGTTGGGCGATTGGTGCTTGTTTTGTTTCTTCCCATAGTTTCTTGTTGGTGATTCTTTCCGGCGGCCATCTGATCTTCAGTATAGAACGAAGACAGCTGTTGATAAAGGTCTGCAACAGGCTGTTGCAAAT